GTGCAGCCAACAGGATTAGCATGAAAAATTCAATGCATATATACTTATTCCATTTAAAAGTCTGTTAGATTAAGCTTCCTTCTTGGCATCCTTACTTTTATATTATTGAAGTTTAAAGAAAGGCTAATTCGAAACATAAAACACTGTAGTTCTAGAAGTGCTTTTACGTAGATGTTGTTGTTATGATTATGATTAGCTTGTATGATCATCTTCTCAGTCAACTTAACCCCACCCGGCCCCAATTGGTGAAAAGTGGAAAAGATCTGGAATTCTTCACATCTGACATGAGAAGTTTGTTATTTTTCAAGATGTTAGCACCACATTATGTAGATATGAGTTATCATTGAGTCTACACTACATTTCGCTGCTTGCTCTTTTCCTTATCTTCAGGTAGCATTAGCACATTGATCTTGTTCACCGTAGAGAAGTGAAAGAGGTAGCGTATGGAACCTGGCTTTACAGCTAACTGCATATGTCCTTTTTTTTGGTTTTCTTTGTTGGAGGTGGTCTTTCTCCAATGGGTAGCAAGATACTTTTTTCAGAAAACAATTGGGGTTGCATGTTTGGTGAAATTGAGGTTTCTGCTGAAACTTTAATTAATACATCAATGCGACGTGCGGCTCCTGCTTGCGCTCCCGCAAGTGTGCCATTTTTTGTTTCTTGCAGCAATAGACTAGCATGCAGTGAGGTGAGAGAATGAGTGTCATAAACAGCCATCTATGGCTTCTAATATTGGACCACAATATGAAGTAGGTCTTTAATCACATCTGCCATAATTGTTATATATAGATCCAGTTGCGCTCCTGCTAGATTCCTTTATTGGTTGATGTGATAAGTGCAAGTTGAAGAATGTCACAAGTTCAAATGAATACAACTGTTGCCTTTGATATTGGAAGAGTTAAAGAGGCTTCTAAATCCACAATGTTTGATTACCCATATGCTTGAGGTGCAGCACTTCAATACTTGCTAAAGACAAGCTCCCATGGTGGCTGGTTTGCAAACTTCATGAAGCATGCAGAAGGCCAAATATTTTGGATACACGAGGTCAAGGAGTTATATGTTTGGCCGCCGCCTTCAGTTGTGAATGTGCAAGGGGCCCTAAAATAGCTGCAGGTGTTGATCCCAACTTTTGTGATGCAAGCGGAAGAACAGCTCTGCATTGGGCATCAAATTATGGAAGATAGACCAGCACATGTTAAACCTTTTTATATTTTTTCCCTGAAGCTGGCCACATCATGGGACTTGTTCTGGTCATCACTCACTGAATGGTGACAGTTATCGGTGTATGGCGAATCATGCGATCTCTTTTTATGCGATATTTACTCCAGAACCAGATGCACTTTACAGTCTCTGCTTTTCACAACTCATGCTCCTGTTCAACAACACTGGTGATACTCTGTTTGTTCTTCAGCTTGAATATACATGGCTGACTATGAGGAACATGCTTTGTCGTAAAGGCCTCAAGCCTACAGAATTCACTGGAAAGACAAGCTTTTTAGTAATCTTGATGATTCAAATTACAAATAGGATAATTGCTGGATGAATTGATGGTGATGCCTTCAGTTTTCTCTCTCCAGATTGAAATCTATTTCTCTAATAATTTGTCCTTCAACAGGGAGGAGACTGATTGCACTTGTTGGGCTTGGAGCAGCTTCACGAGCTGTTGATGATCCAAGGCCCCAGCATGTCCTGGTGGTCAAACAGCACTCATTCGGCTTCAAGTAGAGGGCATTAGGGAATTGTTGCATATGTGGCTGAAGCACCTGTTGTCTTTCTTAACTGACTGTCGATGAGAAAGTGATGGATAGGGTGTTGACCACCCTTTGTTGCGGAGAAGGCAGCGAGAGTTAACCCCAATTGTTTCCACTGCAGCGAAGGACGAGGAACTTTGCATGAAAGGTTCTCTTGCTGCAGTGAGAAGCGGCTCTGATTCAAGCTGCCTTTTGAGCTCGTTCATTTCGGCGGGGACAATTAACAAAGGGAAACAACAATGCATCCCAAGTTTTGGCAAATTTAGTAAACTTTGGCTCTTTTGACAAGGTCCAAAGCTTGAGTCACTATGTAGATAATTTGCATTCTGCAGCGGACAAATTTCAGAAAAAGTAATGTGAGTGGGACGGAAGAAAGGAACTTTTGAAGATATGCAACCAAATTGTGAAAGTTCAGGTGATTCTGTACCTTCAACTGCAACACAATTTCCAGTTGCTACCTTTTCTGATTTATGCTTTTTCATAATCTAATGTATCAACTATTAAGTTTTCTTCATGAAAATGCCCCCATAATTCATTGTGAATGTTTTCTTCTAGTTTTTCCATAAACCAAAGAGCAGGGATTAGCATCAAGTGGATGACTGATTTACCGCTCATGTAGAAAAAATAGTTCGCAGAGAAGGAAAAGACTTTTCTTTTACAACTGCTGCAGCACTGAATTGATTTGTATGCATAGAGTTAGGTTTTGTAGAACCATAACATGACTCAGCTGCCTATAGTTTTCTCACGTCTTGTTGACTACACGGAAACACTTCTGTTATCCAGAATTACTTGCATTAATGATACTTCCTCAAGTAAAGTGAAGCTTATTGATTACCATCAATTACCTGTTATTGATTAATTTTTTTTTATTGTCTATAGGCTCATGTCAGGGGGCATTAAAATGGTCGTCCAGTCAGTTAGTATAATGGAAAAGGCAATACTGTGCTGGAGGTGCAAAAGAACCGGTTTATGAGCATTCAGAGTGCAGAAAAGAGGTGATGATAATGACACAGAAGTTGAGAAAAATTGCGAGTATGAATTTTTGTGGATTGGCCATATTCATAAGTTTGACGGAGTTGAACGAGCTCTAGAGTATGGTTCATGGTCCAAAGGCCCAGGATCATCATATGAGACTGGTCCTGAAGTTAGATAATTTTAAGGTGATGTAGACCCTTTGATGTTCTTTCTACCTCTCCACGTGAGGGAAGCTCTCATATGCTTCACTTAAACAAAAATGTTGTGGAGAGTGCAAGCAAAAGCTAAGAGCTATCTCATGCTAGGATTAAATTATCATACATTACATTTCCCAGTAGATTTTTTAGCTTTTCTTTTACTTTTTCCCACACAGATGGTTAACAAGGGGAGCTGTGAATCACATGACCCCAAGCAGTGCAGAACAGTGGGAGCCTGCAGAGGGAGAAGAGTGAAAGCGTGCAGCATTTGGTGAATTAGCCAGTGTTGGTGTCAGATAGGTGAAGCTGTCTGTTGTATATTCATCCTAGCCGGTCTTGTGTCTACAGTTCTACTTATATCTAACCTGCATTCCATACCCGTTCTTTTTCGTTGGAAGGTATAGAAGGCGGTGATAATTGGTGGGTTGGGGAAGCTACTTCTATATGTGTTGGATTCTTCCTTGTAAAGGATTATAGTTTATTCTTGTTAGAGATTGGGTGATTGGTTGGGAGCCGCTTCTGATTGATGATTATGAGAGCTGCCTGTGTAACACTAGGAACTGCGAATGGTGGCTGGATCATCAAGCCACTTATCAAGTTACTTTTCATCTCTCTTCACCAGCTGAATATGGCAATGGCCTATTTCTTACCAAAGAAAAATGGTTACAGTTGCAGGCAATGACATGACCAATTCTGCAGATTTTGATTGAGCTTGCGACTGGATTTTCAGATTAGAAGTATGAACTGGTTAACTTTTTATTGGATTTCTTAATATTCGACTCTTTCTTGGGCCATACTCGTAATTTGATCTTATTGACTGAGATATGTCTAGGCCAAGTTTGAATTGAATCACTTTTTCATTGGATTTCTCGATATCCCAGAAGTTGACTCGAGTAAGGCTCAAGGGGGCCCTGGCCATGCTCAAACAAGGGCCTATGGCGGGGCTCAATCTGTTGGGCCTTGAAGACCCGCATCAGGGGCTCGCAGTTGGGTCACATACCACTAGCTACATATTGGGTCCTAACTGAGATCCTATCGGGCCCAGATTAGGTCCAATATTGGGTCTGAAATGGTTAGGGCTTTATAAGGTTAAGTGAACATTGGGCCTAAATTGGGCTCCAAAAGATCAGTAGTCCGGCCCAAATTAGGTCATTTGTACTGGGCCTTATGGGCCCATAACAATGGCCATTATTTTAATGGGGCAGACCCCATGGGCCTTAACGCAGGCCCTTTAAACATTGGGCCTAAAAAGGGCCCATAATAGGCCAATTACTTTATGGGCTGGGCCCATTGTAAATTTATTGGGCCGAGCCCAATGGGCCTTGAAGCAGGACAATGGTTTTCCGAGGGCCCAATGGGCCTTGGTGCAGGCTCTTCATCTAAACATTGTGGCTTAAAATGGGCCATGTGTTGGGCTTTAGGCCAAGTCAAGCCCATCGCACATTGGGACTCAAAGGTCCACAATCAGGCCCAATTACTTTAACTGGCCTAGTCCAATAGGATTCAGGTAGGTCCATTGTATGACTATTGGGCCAGGCCCCCACAGGCTTCGAGCAGGTTGATTATTCTCATCAATAGGCCAACGACAGGCCCATTGGTCCAATGAGTTGGGCCTTATCGAAGGCATATTATCTGGCCGGGGTAGGCCCATTTTATGAGTACTGGGCCCGTGACAAAATGGGCTTTGACCATTCAGCTCATTATTGGGCCTTCAATGGGCAGACTAAGCTCAGTCTGGCCCATTATTGGGCCCACTAGAGGGGCTCTTGAAGGCCCAAGTACTGGACCCAGTTTAGGACCATTACATGGCGCCTTAAGGGCCCATAATCATGCCCGTTTTCATGCATCCACCCCATTTAGGCCTAACGCTTTATCTCATGGATTGGTAATCGTTCAAGTGGGCCCTTTCGTCGACAATCAGGCTTGTGGTTGGGCCATAAAGGCCCAATATTGGGCCGTAAAGATCCCGTTGCGTTATTCAGTTTTGGGATATGTTTACCTAATCCATTTCATCATTTTCAGACTTTCTTCCCAGAAGCAAGAGAGGAATTGTTACGGGGCCCACAGGCACGTTAAAGACCAAGAAATACACTCGACGATTCTCATTAAAATAGTTCTCTACCCAGTCATGGCGTTTTCATTCTCAATATGATACAGCAGCACCTTACCTGCTTCAGGCAACCCTCTTCTTACCCGACAGCATTCTAACAAAACTTGCAGCAGTTATACTAGCACAAACCTTAATAAGCAGTTAAACGTCCATAATCTTATCAATTGACATCTTCGCAAGTTGGGTCTCCAGAGTCCTGTTGTGTACACAATAGGAATGACAAAAAGAAGAGAATAGCGATCAGTGGAGAGTCCTATTTTCACGTGCTCACCATCCTGTGCATGTCACGCAAAAGCTTTCTGAGCACTATTCAAAGACACTCCAGTAATTCTCTTTTCCTGCTCGTTCCAAGGAAAATGTGGATTGGCTCCATTGGGCGATATGTGGAAGTAAACTGATGAGAGGTTGGCCACGGACTAGCCGTTCTGTCAAAGAGGTTTTACCATTCTCATCAGTAATGTCCCGCCCAGCTTGTCATTCAAATACTGTTGCTGTGGCTATCCATGTTCTGGTCTTTAAGTGCTCCAATATTTAGCCAGATACCAAAAATCAGTGATGACCCAAAATGCGAGAAAATAACTGGAACTTCTAAGAACACTGATGTCGATTAATTATTACATCCATGTTGCCGCAAAAACAAGTTTCAGAACAGAACCAACATTTGACAAAATAATTCAAATATATAAGCAAAAACTTCACCATGGTTCTATGGGAATCCTTCTACTGAAACTTGTATATTCAAATCATCTCCAACTAAAAGTGGATAGCATAAGTGACTTGACTCTTGAATCACCAAATACAGCTGGCAAACAATTATCATTGTCTTGAAAGGTCATGCACAACTATGCATACGGAATTACCCAACTTAGAGGACAAACTCATCAAATCTATAAAAGCTCTTAACTTTCTTGATCTTACTGCTGGTTAGTTCTTTTTATTGGTAACAAAAGTTCTGTAGAGTCACTAATCTATAAAAGCCATTTACTTTCCTGACATGTTTTCCTCACGTTGGACAACTAGGAATCATAAGTTCAGTATATTCTTATGAACCCTAAAAAGTTGAAGAAGAAGAAGACAATGACAAACAATCATTAACATTCCATATTGGCATTATAATGCTTTGAATTACCTTCTCCTGTGTGTTGGGAAGATGAAAGAGGCAGAAATTTGTATAGGAACTCTTCTTATCAAAAGCAATTCTGTAGCTCTATCCCAAACTTGTAAATGAATGGCAGATACAGATACCAAGAATCTGGTACATAGGACAGGCCGTAAACATTCTGCTCTTTGAGTCTTCTAATCTTCATGTTACTTCCAAGCTGTTGAAGTCAGAAGAGTCTTAGACTGTACTTAAATTATAAGTATCAAAGTTTCTTGCCTGCAATCTGATGTATGTGGAGTCAAGACGTCGCAATATGACTGTTAAAAGAAATTAATTAAGCCTGTTTCTTCCAGAAGAGTTAAATGAATAAGTCTATATACTTTGGCAACTTTCCAGTGTCCAATCCTGCTTTTATTCTGTATCCAGTACCTTCAGTAGGATGACACAAAACATGGACACTTGCTTCTAGGTAAAGCGAGCCAACATATGCATAAAAATTAGTACAACAATTGAGTTTGTGCATGGATGACTGAAAATTGGACTAGGAACTTACAAGGATTTCGTGATCAGGATTTTCTCTAAAATTGGCATAAAGAGCATTTAAAAGGCTGCCCACAATGGCTGATGTAGATGGAGGATTCAAAGCACAAAATGGCTGCGATAGCATCAAGATAGGTAACTTCGTTTCTGAACATTAGTCTTGCGTGTCCTACAATCAGCATTGAAACAATTTTCAGTGGCACAAAATAGAATATACTCTAAGAACATGGCCAAACATTGATGGTATTATACCTTCAGCTAGGCAAATCAAACTTTCCATCATGCGCACAGATGTCCTTGCTGTGTTGTTATGAAATGCACAATAAATCAACAAACAAAAGAAAAGGTAGACCTAGACAAGTACAAGAGATAAAAGAAAAAAATTAAGAGAGGGAGTTTATCTTACTGCATTCTGAGTAGCAGATGTTCACTGAGGTTGACAATAGCTTGATGAACTTTTTCAGCCTCCTTAGTAAGGACCATTCTAAGACATCCTCTACAAAGAGAATGTACCTATATGAAATGCACAGATCCAGTGCGTCAATGTTTTTCCAAGGAAAAGTTGTGCTGATGAGAACAAATTACATGTAAAAACTACATAATTTAATAGAATTATTGGAGAATCGAAGATCAGTAGTCAGGTTGTAGCTGATTTCACAATGCACATTATAGATGGCTGATGTATAAAACATAATCTTCTCGAATTTTAGAAGCCTCTCCAGGACCTTAGATGTAAGTTATATCTATGACAATACGAATAATGGTTTACCAATAATCTAAATAGACCCAGATGCCAGAACTCAGTCAGCTCACCTAGAGCAACTTGAAAGACTAGCTACTTGCCCCGGTAATTTCTGGTGCCCCAATCCTGGAATAATAGTGACCAGAATGTCTAAGTTAAGAAGTGGAACAAGGCATTTCGAATTTTAGAAGCCTTGGCAGGACCTCAGATGTGAGTTATATCTATGACAATACGAATCATGGTTTACAGAAAATCAAAATAGACCCAGAAGCCAGAACTCAGTCAGCTCACCCAGACCAACTTGAAAGACTGGTACTAGCCCCAGTATGAAAAAGATGCCTACGAAGCTCATATAGGAATGCGTCCAATTTCAAGCTTTGTCATTAGTATTAGCCTTTCTACAGCTCAAATAGGCAAACATCATGCTTCAACCTATAGTTCCTGAAAGGATGTTGCTGATGTTCTTCTACTTTGAACTAACCTTGAACCATTTACTGAGAAAATTGAATGGGCTATGCTAAGACCCAATTGGAATGGTAAGAGAAGAATGCTAAAGAAACCCATTTGAAAGCAGATATTGCTCTCCGCCACTGTCCTGAGTTAGCTCAAATATTTCTCAGTGACCCAGAAATTACACTGGGCTACTTAAACTACCTGAACAAGAATGTTGGCCAGGTTCTGAAGTTGTATTGAAACAAATCTCCATATTGTTAGCCAAAATTTTGAGATTATGTGAAGATCTACGACCAATCCAAAAGAATTTGCTAGATCTTCATCACAACCGACTTTAGTTGGCTCTCCCTATTTATTAATTACACAAAAAATTTCTGTCAGGTCAATTACGCTGAAAAAAGAATGAATTAGTTAATTTGATGACTCACCTCACTAAGAATGTGACAAGAAACAATTGTATCCCATTCGGGATATTTTGCATCAAGAAGCACTAGAACTATGTCAAATCTGTGATAAGGGACCGGAGAGTGTCGTATTGACAGATAGAGCTAAAATAGTCAAGAAAGATTACAACAGCGATAGCAAATCCAGCAAGGAAACATTGGAATTACTGTCTCAGTTGGCACACCTTAAAAAGTGCCGTTTGTTGTTAAAGTAAAATCTAATTCTTTCTCTGATGTAGAGAGATTGTGTGAGTAGCTTGTGCTATCTTATGTAAAACAGAAGTTCGAATTTTCATCTTATGACCGCAACTTGCAGTCTAACACCATGGTGCAGAACAACGAAAACAGAGATAGGGAAACACAATTCAAGTAAGACTTCAGATTTGTTTCACCAAACACGATTGTTTTGGTGCTAAGAGTAGTTACAAGACCAGGCTGAAAAAGAATGAAAGATCATTTTAGTAGTAATTTCTTGCAGCACAACATGATTTAGAAATTGCAGAAAATAGATAGGATTGCCCTGCTTTTACAATGAAATGAAAACCTGATGATACAAACAAACTAACACCCGTCAGTTTACTAGCTGAGAGAAGATTATAAATGGCTCTTTCAGCATTCCAATGTCAGGAATCCGCAGACAAGCCTTTTACACTTCTAATTTCAATGTGACGGGAAATTCCTTTTCCTTTTACAATTAACGTAACTCAAAAATATTCCCACGGTGCTCCATTGTAAAGGGTCATTGACATCTGACAAATTAGCAGGATCAAGTTCTGATTATTTGTTTGTTCTTTGTCGTATGGCTAGTCCTAAGTTCAATTCCAAGTATACCTTTTGAAATATAATAACAATGTGAAAACAAGGAGAAGATTCCCCTTAGCGACCCTATTATCTGCTAGTCCTGGCCTCCTGTATGGTAGCCCTGTCATGCTCCCTCATACTGTCCGCGAAAAAGTTTAGTCGGTTTGATATTACACATCGGCAAGAAAACCTCCTCACCTGCAAAAGCCTTATAAATGCAGCTAAAAGTTGATCAATTCATAAATAGCATATCTAAAGGTACCATAAAATTTTGAGGCTTATTATGTCATAGCATCACAACCTGCTTCCTAAGAGCGTCGGACTACAGTATGCCTTGCAAGTTCCAAAGGAAAGTTCATATGACAATGACATGAAGACCTTCAACAAAATATGATGACAAATTTAGTAGATCGCCTCCAAGTAAAAAAATTGAAGAGCTTTGAACTAGTTATTGTTGCGGTGATGACAGTGACATGAAAGAACTGCAATCAAAGCTCCATTAAGTCTATCCGCAGGAGAAGTAACCAATCTAATATGTAATGATATTGATAGTTCGACCAAAAAAAATTAATATGTAATGATAGTGCATGCGCCAAACATAAAGTGAAAGAGGTGACAATGTGAATGTAAATGATACATAACACCTCTTTAATGTCCAGCCTTGTGTTTTTCATGTGCAATGGAACCAACAACACTTAATGGATATTTTAAGAGATATGCCCATTGAATGTCCAAGTTCGAAATAATAGACGCTTGGGAAGCTTATATATGATAAAAATTGCACGCTCACAACTTGGAAAAAGATACACGTCTCACTTTTAATGCCCAAGGTAGAGTCTAAAAGCCAAAGTAAAATTACCCAAAATCCTTCTGTCATTCGTGTCACTAACAACATTCCAAATGGGAGCAAATTCACACATGTTAACTGCATTTTGTATCACGATAAAAATCACGATTTCAACATTAACTACTGAGCCAGGAGGAAGCTCTAACAAAGGACCGACACAAACTAGAGGTTTTTATGTCAAGCAGAATGAGAGGAACTTCTGGTAAAGCAGTTAAACCAAATCACAAGGTGGTTGTTGCAGGGAATGGAGTTTAAATTGAATCTAACGGCACATATCATGAACCAAAAAGTACAAGTTACATTCGCCTAAAAGCAAGCAAGACAAAGCCATGACTACCGTTAAGGACAAAGGTCCAGACAGAATCAGGCGGACAACATCTGAAGGAATAGTAAACCATTGTCTTTTGGGAATGACTCTCTACGCTAGCCATACTTCACTTCACAGCAGCACCTCTCATACTCTTAAGTATTAGGACTCAAGTCCCGTCTCCCAATAACCTTTTACTTTCAGATCAAGACGGTCAAGATGCTCTTCGCAGTAGACTTGGCTACACAGATTAATTACTGCATATGCATAAACCCCACTAAACCAAACTGGACTGGACAGGACAGCCATCCCACAAAAAAAAAGAAGGAACACTTGGACGAATGCTTAGACAAAACACAAAGGAACTACCCCACCCACGACAACTTCCTCGCAAACATTAGGAAACTTCCATATCGCGTTTTGATCGCTTCGATTCGACACCACACCAGTCAGGGCAACGGAAGCAATCCATCCTCCCACGATTTAGGGAATAAGAAAAAGGGTAATGCTACTACGTACTCGAGCCCGAACAGCTGCGCCTTCGAGATGCTTCAAGCGATGAGCAGGCTGAGAGGAGACGAGGATCGCAATCCGCGAGCTCTGCAAATCCGAGAGAGAGAGAGGATGAGAACAGGGGAGGAGAGATTCGAAAATTCTTCAGCATCGATCATCGAAGAACAAGAGCGAGGGAGATTACTCGATGGAGAGAGAGAGATGGAATGAAGCTGATCCGAGTAGATGCGTACGGGAAGATGCCGCCGTTGACTTCGCGAGAGGGGGCTAGGGTTCTCCTGCAATTGCGTCGACTCCATTGATGACTCTAGAGAAAAATACGAACAGAGAGAGAGAGAGAGAGAGAGAGAGAGCGAGCAAAGAGGATGAAGCGAAGCTCCGGAGCTTCTACGCGGGAAAATCGTGCAAATTAGGGGGCTTGACCCGACCCCACCTAACAACTCGAGTATTTATTGTGAAAAATTACATGATAAATTATTTGATCTTCCTATTAAACACGACCCACAAATCTACATATGTATGTATGCCATAACATTTAATCTACATCTGTATGTATGCCATAACATTTAGTATGTCGATTTTGTAAATCAATTTCATGATATTTTGTATTGCTCAACTATTGAAAGTAATGCTTTTTTGCATTATCAGACTACTATTTAACTGAATACATTGTAATATCAGTTGCAACTATAATCAGTAATTTACTGTTATCGGCAATAATTTGTTTAAAGATTTTGTGATATGAGAATGACACTCGGTAATTAACTTCATATTGCCGGAACTATCCTCAAAGATGATAATTTTGCCGTAAGTTCTTCTAAACATCACTAGTGATCGGGGTCATGGCGGAATTAATTTTTCTCAAAGTAGTAATTCACGTCTCATGAAGTAATTTGCCTGTAAAGTAGTGCGTTTTGTTTCATGGGGTAATTAATTTACCTTGACGGGTCAAAATCTACCCAGATTTCCAATAATTTCACGATACCTATTTTTTAACGAACAGCTATTTGGCCATAGATTTTGTAACCCTAAAAAGCTACGACCTAGTAACTAATCCCAAATTGTTGTAATTATTATCAACAATTGCAATGGTAATTTTCCCCGTAAGTTCTTGAAGATGACAATTGGTAACATGTCTTCTGAGGCAAATGATTTTTCCAAAAGTAGTAATCCACCAAATTTGAAGTAATTTGCTTTGAAAGTAGCATGTTTTGCTTATTTGGTTGGTAAGTTTTTTTTGTGGGCCGTAATTTTCTTGAAGGGAAAATGACATAAGTGATCCATGAACTTTTCAGATACCGCATTGAACAAATAAAAAGTTTATGGACCATATTTTATATTAGGCCAAAATTCATCAATTATTTGTGTCATTATCCCTTTGAATTTATTGTAATTTGACTGTACCTATAGTTGGTAATTAGGTAAGGACAAATTATATTCGGCTGGGGATGCTGTCATTTAGTAGTGGAGTTCTTCTGAACAGCCTCAGTACTGGATGCACCTTTTAGTAGGCGAAGTGTACCTTTATCCTCCTAGTGGGACACCAATCTCATTTATTATATAGCTAATCATGCCAACAAAAAGAGATTAGTCAAGGCAGGCAGAAAGCCTTATCTAGCTTAGCTAAGCCTGTTTATTTCAGCAACAGTAATGCCACCAATAGCATTGGCCATATCTGAGCTATTCCTATCTAGCAATAGTGAAAAAGGCAAGCAGCACTTCCCAATCAACCAACAGAACAGAAAGGGACTGGTTTTAGCTTTTTCTAGTCTAGCTGGATTTGGGAGTCATAAGCAGCACCAGCTTTCCAGTCACCAGGGAGGGGATTCTTTGGTTGCACCCAAGTCGCTCCGTGGCTCCCACTCACTTGGAACCGCAGGTTAACGCAACCACTCGGTGGAGTTTGCGTGTCGAACACTGCTCCGTACACTCTGCGCATCGGCTTCCACTCTTGACAGTCCTTCTGCATCGAAGTCTCGAGAAGCAAAGTCATTATCGACTCATGGTCTCTAGTTCGTGTTTATGTTGACTTCTGGCTCGATTCGATTCTACTTGAAACAAAATTGAAGCAACTCATGGGAATATGGATGGCTGAATACCTGCCAATACTCCATAGCTGTGATGTCATTTGTGCCGCCGACGTATAAAATGATGATAGCTAAATAATATGGGTTTCTGCTGCGTTCATGGACCTTGAACATGAGGTTGTAGCCGGAGTATCGGCACGGAACCCTTCTGACTTCGACGTCAACCACTCCGTAGGCAAACAGCTGCTTGGTTTGGTAAGCGTCCGGTTGAGCCATCTTCGCATAAGCTCTAGGGCTCAGGATGAAGTCCGTCCTGTCTCCTTCTCCATAGTCCGTCACCACCACGTTTGCTCCGTCGCCTGTGCACTGCGGTTTCGTGCACCTCACCTATACTTCAAAAAAAATTGACTGAATAAAAAAGTCAAAAAGAGTCGTCATCTATTAATGTCTAGTCTATATGAAGTTAAACCTGATAGCAAGCACCACAGCCAGATCCATTTCTGTAAAGCCTCGAAACTCCAGTCACATAGGTGCTGCATGAAAACCATTCTGGTTCTGTCCAGAACTAGTTTTTTGTTCTCAGAATCAGTTTTGGACCAGAAACCCGTTTGGTAACGCAATTTCATTTTTCTATTTCCGGGACAAGTTTGCTTCCAAAACTGATTTGAAACCAGAAATGAGAACCAAAAAAAAGTTGGTTTTTCATTTCTGGAACAAAAGTGAGAACCATTTCTGAGGAATTCATTTTCTTCGACACATATTCATATGGAAGTCACGATCTTTGAGGTGAGAAAAAAAAGTAAAAAATCAAAAATTTCAAAACTTAACATAATGGTTTAGATCTGTGGCTACCCACTTTCAGTGAAATTTAAATTTTTTTAGGTACCGAAAAAAATAAATAAAAATAAAAAATAAAAAATTTCACAAAATGGCTTAGAAAACCTATGGCCACCCACTTTGAGCAAAATTTAATTTTTTAGTTGCCAAAAAAAAATAAAAAATCCTAAAATTTAAAAACTTCACAGAATATCTTAGAATACCTGTGGCCACCCAATTTGAGCGAAATTTTATTTTTTTAGGTGCCGAAAAAAATAAAAAAAAGCAAAAAATCAAAAATTTCAAAACTTCACAGAATGGCTTAGAATACTTGTGGCCATCCACTTTGAGTGAAATTTAAATTTTTTTAGGTGCCAAAAAAAATAAAAAAAATAAAAAATTTCAAAACTTCACAGAATAGCTTAAAATACCCGTGGCCACCCACTTTGAGTGAAATTTAAATTTTTTTAGGTGCCAAAAAAAATAAAAAAAAATAAAAAATAAAAAACTTCACAGAATAGCTTAAAATACCTGTGGCCACCCACTTTGAGCGAAATTTTATTTTTTTAGATTCCGAAAAAAATAAGAAAAAAAGAAAAAATTTCAAAACTTCACAAAATGGCTTAAAATACCTGTGGCCATCCACTTTAAGCGAAATTTAAATTTTTTTAGGTGCCGAAAAAAATAAAAAAATAAAAAATAAAAAACTTCACATAATTGCTTAGAATACCTGTGGCCACCCACTTTGAGTGAAATTTAATTTTTTTAGGTGTTGAAAAAAAATAAAAATAAGCAAAAAAGAAAAATTTTCAAAACTTCACAGAGTGGCTTAGAATACATATGGCCATCCACTTTGAGTGAAATTTAATTTTCTTTAGGAACCAAAAAAAATAAAATAAAAAATAAAAAATACCATTTGGGCATCTAAAAATAATTAAATTTTACTCAAAGTGGGTGGCTAGAGGTTTTGTAAATCATTATGTGAAGTTTTGAAATTTTTGATTTTTTATATTTTTTTTCACCTAAAAAAATTTAAATTTTACTCAAAGTGGATGGCCACATGTATTCTAAGTCATTCTGTGAAGTTTTGAAATTTTTGATTTTTTGCTTTTTTTTCACCTCAAAAAATTAAAATTTCATTCAAAGTGGGTGGCCACAGGTATTCTAAGCTATTCTGTAAAGTTTTGAAATTTTTGAGTTTTTGAATTTTTTTGGGCATCTTAAAAAATTTAAATTTCACTCAAAGTGGGTGGCCACATGTATTCTAAACTATTCTGTGAAGTTTTGAAATTTTTGCTTTTTTTAGTTTTTTTGGGCACCTAAAAAAATTTAAATTTCACTAAAAGTGGGTGGCCACAGGTATTCTAAGCAATTCTGTGAAGTTTTGAAATTTTTGATTTCTTGATTTTTTTTGAAAAAATTCAACAAATTTCCTATTTTCCCGAAATCTAATTTTTTTTTATTTTCTCGACATTTTGATGATTTTTTCTGGAATTTTTCAATTTTTTGGGATTTTCTGAATTTTTTTAAAGATTTTTATGAATTTTTCGGATTTTTTTATTATTTTTATTCCATTTCTAAAAAAATGGATTTTTGTTCCTGGAAATAGAATTTTCTGTTGTTTATCAAACGGGTTTTTATTTCAGGAAATAGAAATTTTGTGCTGTTATCAAACGGGTTTCTGTTCTAGAAATAGAAATTTTTTGTCATTATCAAACGGGTTTTTTTTCTCAGAAACTCATCCAGGAACCAGAAATAGAAAAATCTATTTCTGGTTCAGGAACTCATTCCGGAACAGAATGGTTATCATTCGCTACCATAGCCATCATTCACGGTCCTTCCATACTCGCCGAACCCACAAGCTCCAGCTGCCATAAACATTGCACTCATTAGATCTTCTCTAGCAAAAATTGTTCTGTTTCGAGTGTTTGGTTTGTGCATGATGAAATGGAGCGATTCAAAGAGTGCATGTGAACAACCAAGCCTTCAAGTATGGAGTGAGATATGCTACTACACAGATCTTCTCGTGTCATTTTGCGCTCTACTGAGTATCAAGGGAAAGAGCGCATACCCTCGAAAAGTTATTCATGATGTAACAGAGCATGCCACATGACCATAAACATTGTTTAAAAAGTTACTTAGAAGAAAAGAAATGTTAATTTGTGTACTTTTCATTACATGATACTATTATGCTAGTAGTGCTCTAGTAGCTCCGCACTAATGTATGAACATAATTTACGTGCGGCGCTCATGTGGTGTGTAGTGGCTGACGCAAGCTTTGTTTCTAACACAAGAGACGGAGCGTGCACATACTTGAAGTCCCATAGCAGTCAGGACTGCCGTAGAAAGTAGCTCTTGAGGGTGTAAATGAATCTTGACAGTTACAAAGTGCTGGCAAGAGCACCAGGACACAAAGAAGACAACGATAGTTCATTGCAGATGCTAATACAAGTAAACTCAAACCTAGAGGACTAGACTCGATAGAGAGAAATGCACGAGAAGGTTTTGGGATGAGCAACGTTCAAAGCCAAGATCCCATATTTATAGCTGAGATCTTGA